CCACCACCATCCTCATGGGATGTTGCGGCCTTTCCCATATGCCACGTGTGTCTCCAATCCATTCATTTTGTAAACAGCCAAGAAGCATCTTCACTGCCAAGGTTATCGGTTTGACAGTAAAACTGAAACCTCGCGTCCTGCTGTATTCCTTTGCTTTGTGTGGTCTCTGTGTGTGGGTCCCTGCCTATGACGTATCTATCCCTTTCAATTGGCATGAGGTTGTTTTAATGAACATGGTGGCCGTCTCCTTCACTGGAAAGTATGCTGGGAAATGTAGGCTGATTAGGACAATAATCTTCTTAGCAGTGATGACAGGTCAGCGTTGTTGATTTTTGGTTTTATCAGTTTTTCCACACCCTGGACAAAGGACACCATTTCTGCACATACAAGACTCCAGATCTCCTCCCTCTCCAAACAGTTTTCTATGGCTCCTCACCCTTCGACATCTTGTTCTTCTGCACGGCTGATAAAACCATTCGGCAGCCATTTCCAGTTACGGTGTTCCAGTTACAGGAACTCCTGGACAGAAAATTTTGACCCATTTTGGCTTGTCCGAACGTAGACCCTTTTGTTGCCACTGGAGATGGGGAATTCGTATTCACCTCCCTTGGGACCCACTTGGTCCGTTTACCGTGCACGATGCGCATGGCCGTTGTCATTTGCACCACGCCGGTACTTCCCCGCCTCCCTGCACGGCTGACTCGCCAGAGTGGTCAACAGCATGAGGAGGCGGGGAAGTGCTGGCTGATCAAACTCTGTGATGGGCTCTTTGCAAATGTGCAGGAAGCGGTAAGTGGACCAGCTGGTTCTGGGAAGGTGGGTCTAAAGGGCCTGATGACCGGGGTGTTGATATTCATACCCCATCTCTAGCAGCCATGGCTTGTCTTGCGGGAGATCAGCTCCTGTCCGACATCCCAGTCTCTCTTAAAACAGTAGGTGGTTTCCAAATAACTGCTGTTTGATTGCAATGACGACTGCAATGTTTAATGTAGTCAAGGACATATTGAGAGCAGATGAGTAGCGGTCTCATCTGGACAGATACCGCCTGAATTCTGGAGATGACCAAGTACCTACTACATCTGAAGTGGAGTTTTAGGGTGCAACTAGACAGCTGAATTATCTCAGCCTGGATCCGTGTTGATTGTGCTGAACAGGGAGGCCTCTAGGTATGGTATGTTATTTGGGGTAATCCTTTCATCCATATACAGGGATCATCCACATGGTACGTCAAACGACCCTGTTTAGGACAATCAAGAGCTTCTTGCTCTTTAAAAGGGAGAGATTCCTCAAGATGGTTAAGCCGCTATCCTAGCTGTCCCTTGTGTTGAAGCCTCTTCGCGATCTTGAGAAATGGAAAGCTTCCATGCCACTCCCTTTTCAAGGGCAAGGGGAGAGGAGGTTTTGCCTCTCTTTGCTGCTCACATATCTGCGATGTTTTGAAAGGTGTTCTTTTAAGCTCTGCCAAAGCATCGCTGATGCGCCGGGTCAGTTAGCATCTGTTAAAAAGAAATGGAAAGCTCCCTTCCCCTCCAAAGCAGAGTGTTCATGTTATGGATTTCCCATTCTTTCATTGTCAACATGAGACTGAGCTGCTGAAAATAATGGTGCATTCTGCTAGAATTTTATTACCTGTTTAATTGATGGACAGAATGTAGACTATAGTCTATCAATGGATAACACTACAGTTTCATTCTAGTGCCTGCTGGTAACTGGCATCCTCCAAAGAATACTGGACTGGATGAACTTCCATCTTATCCAGAAAGGGCCTTTCATAAGAATGGATACTCAGGATCACTTGACAAAGATTTGTGATGCCCAGATTGTGAGGAAATAATGAACATGCACACTCGTTTTACTAGTTCAAACACATGAGTGAATAGAAGAGTTACAGATTTAAAAAGGAGATAAAGTAGGCCATATAAGTTTGAAGTTAGCAGACTTCTGTCATGTTTAGTTCTGTGCAAGGACTGATAGGAAAGAATTCAGATTCAAGAGTTACTCCCTGTCCTGTTTTTCTCAAGGCTCAGACTTTTGAAGTAAATCTTTGCAGGGCTTAGAAGTAACATACTGTACTTGGATTTAGTTCCCAGCCTGGATTCCCACATTTCAGTAATGGTTAGGAGTACATTTGCACGGTTAAAATTAATACATACTTCAGTTGTACCCATTGCCTGAGGTGTCTGATCTGGCCATGGTGAAACATAGCCTTTGTGGTGTCCTGTGTGGGTCATTGTAACATGCTGTACATTTCAAAGTACAGTGGTGCCCCGCATAGCGAGGTTAATCCGTTCCGGATTAACCCTCGCTATGCGGAATCGTCGCTAAACGGGTAGGGAAAAGGTATTGAAACGCATTAAACTTAGTTTAATGCGTTCCAATACCTTGCTTACTTACC